ATCATAAGATCGGCTCTATGTTATTCTATCACGCATCTCTCTGTCATGAAGAAAGTTTTGAATTCCTAAGTTGGTAAAATAATGTGAGGCAAAATTTAATAAAACTATCCAAGTACCTTGAACTTGGAAAAATCATGGCATACACCTTTCTAGGGGAAATTCTGCCAGTGGGAAATTGATAATATTAGGAGTATAATTGATAATATTATAATAATATTACCTCTGGAATTCAAAGAGATTTTTTTTTATTATTATTATATATGTCCCCTTCTCCACAGGGCCCTAGATCCCATCCAAGCTAGGAAAGTCCAGCCAAGCCTCTGAGTCAGAAGAGCAGGGTAACATCAGCTTCTGACTCGGAACTTCAAAAACTACTTACTGCCACATTCAGTCCACGCTCAGCAATTCTCTGTCACAACCTATCATTTTTCTCCAAAGTGAAATGAAAGGCTTCATGCCTCGTTGAAGAAATTTCAGGCTACAAATAAAAAGATAGAGTGTTGGGCCGAAGAAGGTAGAGGGTCCCTGACATCACGTCACAGGCTCCTTTCCATTATATGTTGTATTTTTTTAACTTTATTGTCATATGATAATTATGGTGGCACAGAGGTAATTAAAACTCAACAATATAATACATCAAACAAAAAGCTATTTCCAAAAAGTGTTATGTAGCTTTGGTTACACACAAATACCAAGCCTGCTCTGCAGTTCTTTTGTTAGAATAGGCTTTGAGCTTATCTCCAATGACAGAGTTCTGGCAATTGGACATGGGAGTGATGTGACAATAGTAAGAAACAACCAGTGAGCAATTTTATTAAAACAATAGTTTATTTGAATGTCTACAATAAACCAGGTAATTTTCTGGATGTTGTTGTGGTATGATATGAGGTTAAGATAATATAATTATGGGTAAATAATTTTCCCAGACAGAAAAGTATCCTTTGAAGAACATACAGGACAATTTGATTCATTTAAAAGTTCTGCAATTTGAGTTAGGAAAGAAATTTAAAGAGATATTTCTTTTTGCTACAGCAGGAAAAATGTGCTTATCTTTCCTCTTGGAATTACCAGCGATTCATTCCGTGTTCATAAGTGCTGAGCTCAAAGGTCAACATGCAGATCTTGCTTACATGCGTGAGGGTTTTTTCCCACCTTTGAACTTTTTAAAGCAACTTTTATTACGTAGTGCCCCAAAGTTCAATGTGTCTTGTTTTATCAATTTGCATTCTAGTAATGCTTCACAGTTGGCTATTTGCAATGGTTCTTAAAAGGGTTATGCTGAAAAGAAGAAGTAAATTTGATTGAGATTTGGACACATTATTTTCCCTTCATTTCCCATGGACAAATCCTTGGAAATACAATTATCAAAACCCCTGTATTGTCTTTTCAGATGGAAGATGGAGCATAATTCTTGGAAGTCAAGACATACCATCTCAGTTCAGCATTGGACATCAATATCTAACTGGGGGTTCTGTGAAGAAATTTTTCTTTACATATTTTTGGCCAATTCTGAAAAATACTAACTTATATCCACAAAGTTTGCATTTCTCCATCTATTTACCTCTGTTTCTATCTATCTCCTGGTATCTTTAACTGGATTCTTGGATTTCCGTGAGCGTCTTAGCTTTTTATTTCAGAGGCATACAAGGCTCAATAACTTTACTAACACTTTCCATAGCTCAAAATTATATTTCATTGAAAAATGACAGCCTATTGTTAGCTACTTCCATGGAAGACAGAAAATCTATATATTTATTTTAACTGCATTGACAATTTTCTACTACTTGGTTGTGCTGTTTAATGCTAAATCCTGCCACACCAAAAATGAACGCATGCTCTTCTAATTCTCAGTTTGATAATTTTTTTTTTTTTTTTTGTGACTTGCCCAATATTCTCACCTACAATGCCAGGATTTAAAGCTTAAGAGCATAGAGTCACCTTTGCCCCTTTTTCTTTTCTGCTTTCCTCAGACCCCAAAATAACTGTATCAAGCCACCCAAATTTGTATTCTGCCCATGTAATTACTGCTGTCTGCTGATCCCTCTGTTAGTCAGCTTTCGGTTGCTGTTACCAACACCTGAGCAAAACAATTTAAAGGAAGAAAGATTTATTTTGGCTCATGGTTTCAGGTACTTCAGGCAATGGTCAGCTTTGGGCCTGAAGTGAGTGAGGCAGAACGTCATGTCGGAAGGGTGTGGTGGAGGAAAGTTGCTCAGCTCATGATAGCCAGGAAGAAGGCAGGGGAGGATCCAGGAACAAGAAATACCCTTCCAAGGCACCTACCCCCACAGCAACTTAATTCCTCCCACCATGTCCCACCTACCTACACTTTCTATGGCTTCCCAATAGTCCATTCTGCTACCCATGGATTAATCCATGTATGAGGTCAGAGCATGATCTAATCACTTCCCAAGAGCTCCACCTCTGAATATTGCTACTCTGGGAGCCAAGACTTTAATGCATGATTATTTTTTGGGGGGGAATTCTGGAACCAAATTGTAACAATCCCATTTCAGAATGCTTGCTTGACTGATAGTCAGACTCCCCTGTCCCATGATTTGACTTCCACTTCCTTTCTAGACCTCTCTAAACTTGCACCCCTCTGTTCCTACCCTACTCTGTACCCCATGCTGCAGACATGATTTAGCTTCTTACTGAATTCCCAAACAGACTCATGTTTTTCCTTGTTTTCAACTGAGCCCTCTACCTAAAATGGCAATCCCAATTCTATTTACCTAACTAGTGTAAATTCATCTTTCAAGGCTTGGCTCCAATTTCATTACAACTTTAAAGCACCTCTCTGCTTGAAGCCCGACTTCTCTCAAAGGACCTATAACACCGTAATGCACTAATTGATGTCTTAAAAAAGCCCATCAGTGTGGAAGAAATTGCGTATTGCCTCCCTTAGTCTCCTTGCACTTTCTCTCTGATCTGATTAGAGAGATTGAAAAGCTAGAAACTGCATTTGGATGCCTTAGTAGCATCTAAATCCTATCAATTATGGTTGTACCAACTTCTGTGAGAAGACATTGGATGCATTTTCCCCTTTTCCTTTACTTCAGTGCTCTCTCTCCTTCTCTTTCTTTTTTTGGTGCTTTGCTGCCCACATGCAGGACACAGAAACGAGTGTTGAAAGGCAATGGGCAAATTTTGCTGTCCATCACCGAGAAGCTTCCTCCCCAGGAAGTGAAGAAGCTCCAGCAGTGGTATCAGCAGACTGCTGCCTTTTACTCTGCTGCTTCCTGATGGGAGTCTGAGTTCAACTGTCCAGTGGTGCGTCCCTCATTTGGGCGCTTATTCCATCCCAGAGGTTTTGTGCTTCCCTGTATTTTATCTCTTTGCACCTTACACACTTACAATGTTTTTTTTTTTTCCTACACTGAATCCTGATATGATTTGTTTCTATTAAACTATAACTGCTTTGAAAGTAAGAACAAGGTGTTTCTATTTTTAAATTCTTGTGGACATAGTGGACTTTCTTCAAATAAATGACTGATTCACTGAATGAGCCAATAATGACTGTAAATTATGTATCACACTAAACATGAAATTCACCCTGAGACACAAATCCCTTTTCTAACACTCTTATTCTTTCCTGGCCAACCTGGTCTCAGGCTCTCCTGTAATTCAGTCTGATGATTCTAGTTGTTACACTTTGTGCAACTATGTTTTGTATCGTTCTCTACCTTCTTGTTCTGATGGCTGCTCCTGTCTACAATATCTTCCTTCCTCTCTGCCACCACACATTCACCAGTATGGGAAAGAGAATACCTAAACATCACACTCCATAATAAATACTCCTCTGCTGATGTCAGAATTAATGGAAAGAAAGTATGTTTTTTTTGGGGGGGAATGATGGTTTGCCTCTCTCAGTTAGAAATAGTTTGGGCTGTAGGTACAGGAAAATACAATTCTAATGACTTAAATAAGGATTAATTTTAAATATTGTTTCATTACGAAAAACCAGGAACTTTGGGTTAGTAATTCAGAAAGGTTTGGGATGCCTTCATATGACTCTCTTGACTTTTCCCTCATGGATGCAAATGACAACCAAAGATCCAGGCATTGTGCTTGTTTTCAAGATAGAAAGAAGGGACTTGGAGCCAGCCCTGTGTGTGCCTTTATCAGGAGAGCAAAGGCCTTCCTACAAGCCATTTAGTAAATGAGTTTGCTTCTATTTCATTTATGATATTCTAGTGGCCATCCCTTACCACGAAAGTCCAGGAATATAAGTTTTCAGCAAGTTTTCCTTTGTGAAGGAGAGAAAAGAGTTGGGAATGACTGTTGGATTATCTGACTGGAAGGCAACCATATTTTCAAAATCATGTAGTACTTTTAGCATTCTTTTGGAAAGCTCTAGGCCTCATATTTTCCAAGTCTCCAGAGGTACTTATCACTCTGCCGCGTACCTGGGTGTAATGAAAACCTCACCATTGTGGTACATGGAGTAAATTAGAAGAGAGGAAAACACATTACCCACACTCAGTCTTGCATGAGTGCAATAAAATGAGCAGGAAGGTCATATGTTGCTTTCAGAGACATTTTACTCTTCTCAACTGAGCATCACTGGTCTCTTTCAAACATCAACAATTTAATAGCATTCACTTTCTGTGTTTATTACAATATGCTAAGATCTTTATTTAATTCTAGTTCTAGGTCTATGGCATACCAGTGCAGATAGTTGGTAGATTCAAACACTAAATTTTCATATTTATAAACTTTATCTCAATTTAAATATGAAGAGTAATGAAATGTTGGTTCATGCTTACGTCAATAAAAGGGAAAGCGTAGTTTGAAAAGTTTAAGCCATTATTTATGACTAGAATGTGTGTGTGTGTTGCAAATCTGAAATGTTTAGTTAGGAAGAACTGAAGAGTCTCTTAACCCAAATTGACTCTCCTTAGAATCAGGATCAACCATATGATGATCAAAGGGCATTCTCATTTTAATTTTCCCTCCCTGTCATTAATGTAGTATTTTTGTCATGAAATAATGTTGAAATGAATCTTGAGGGAGGTGAGTCAAACAAGAAATCCCAGAAGCACATCTTGAAGAGGAGTGAGCTTGTCTTTTTTGGTGGGAGAGTAGCTGAACAGAGCTGAAATAGGGAAGGGGAAAAGGCTTTTGGTGGATTTGTGCAGTGACTCTCCGGCCTCTTTTTTAGTGGATTCTCCTCAGTGTCTGTCAACCAGGCCAACCGGTACTGCCTAGTGCTTTGGGGCTGGCCACAAGCGGTAGGAAGGCTCTGTTCAGATTATTAGAAGGAGTGCTTCTGTTATAATCACATCCTTCCCTTTGGTAGAAATTAGATATTACAACCTCTACTAATTACAGGCTGGTGGCTCTGGTGCCCTCCCAGAAGCAAATTGCTTTGAGATAGCAGCTGGAAACTGGGGTTATAAAATAAATCCAGAAGAGGGCTTGTCAAGCTTTTCTTGCCCATAAAATGAAAATAAAATATCATATTTGTGAAGTTCCATGGGAAAAAAAAATTGGAAAGATAGCTTAAGTTGCTTCGTAAAGAGAATCTTGCTATCAAAACACCACCATAGCAGCCACTGTTAAAAACAAAAATGCAATCAGGAAAATTACTTGAAATGTTTATGTTTACTTCCAGTTTTCAAATTAAAGTAGAACATCATGTTCCTTTGGGTTGCCATTCAAATTCTCTCTTCCTCTCCTGATTCCTATAAATGTAGTAGCTGATAAATTTCTCTCTTTTGAAGTAGAATGACTCCTCCAAATTTAACATTTTTTTTTTCTTTTCTGAGAGCTTTCTTGCCTGTATGACGCCCGAAATCACAAACACATCTAGTTCAAGTTCCCTGTAAAATAAATGCTTCTTTCTGACTTTAAGACTATCCTGTGGGGCTGGGGATGTGGCTCAAGCGGTAGTGTGCTCGCCTGGCATGCGTGTGGCCCAGGTTCGATCCTCAGCACCACATAGAAGCAAAGATGTTGTGTCCGCTGAAAACTAAAAAAAAAAAAATTAAAAGTTCTCTCTCTCTCTTCTAAAAAAAAAAAGACTATCATGTAAAGTTTTTGCTGAGTATTATTAAGCTATCTTAATTTCCCAATCAAATAGTTATAGACATTGAATCAGAGTTTGACCTCTTTTTAGAGGTTGGCTAGGTCAACTATTTTCCCATCCCAAATAGGAACTTTCCATTTAGCATCTTTGACAAATTCTATTTCAGCTTGGATTTTGGTGACTCAGTGTAGAGTTAAAAAAAAAATGTGGATAGCTACAAGGTGGAAAGAGGCCTCTCTCCACCTTGCACCTGTCCAGTTATGCCTTTTGGAACATTACTGAATGTCTAATCCTTGAGCCAAGTCAACGCATCAAATAGTTAAATGTCAACCAACAGGTGAAGATTTAGTGACCCATGCAGATGGGAACAGCTGTTCTCATAGAGGGACAGACAAGCCTCCACATTGCAGCTAAGTTCAAATTCTGTTCTCATTGTCTTCAGCTTTTCTTTCAGGTTTATCTCTTTTTTTTTCCTTTTCTTTCTTCCAAATGTCAGAAGCATGATTAAACTCAAAAGGCACAGTAGGGTAAGCCGACTGCACAAGCAAAGAGAAACTGCCTATTTATCCAACAGGAACTCACAAAATTTTAATTTTCTGCAACACAAAGCAGATTCTCTGCGTTCGTGTGTGTGTGTATGTGTGTGTGTAATTTCTGATCAAATTTTAATCCCACAATTTCCAACCAGAGAATGACTGAAAGGGACAGCAAGAAGAACAACTGTCTAGGAAGGTTATAGAAATCTCAATTCCTTAAAAGGGACCTAACTCTGATGCCTTATTTTCCAAACAAAGGACTCAAGACCAAGAAACTAAGAACCTGGCCAGATACCTGAATCCACTGCGCAGGGTGAGCTTTGTGCCGCGGCCACAGGGGGCGCTGGTGTTTGCCCACCCGCGGATCCGCGCGTGGGCGTGGGCGTGGGCAAGGGCTTGGCGAACAGCTGCGGTCAGGCGTCGCTGTCCCCTCGGGCTGCGCGGGTCGTGTTCGAGGACATGAGTCACAAGTATGCTACGTTGCGTCGGGCCCAACTCCATCTGGATTTCATCCATGCCAACTCGTGAGTGCCTAGCTGGGGTCGGAGAGGGGTAGGGTCTCCACGCAATGGGGAAAAGTTTTGTCCCCGTCGGAATCAAACACCTGATTGAAAAACCAAAAGAACTTGGTGTGGTTGATTTATGGATTTCTTTATTTATGTTGTATATGTGTTTCTAAATCATTGAGCAAGGGATAAAGATGTTGATATTCTTCAATTAACACCAAGTGGTAGAAAGGCTTCACACTTATCTTTGAAGGAAACTATTTAACTATTGGTCAGCAGGACGCTTAATTCTACCAATTCTGCCTGCTGCAGTCTGACCCCCACCACGATGTAAAGATCCAAGTTACCTTTCAAACACAGTAATTTGCATTCATTGATTTCAACCTCTTTGGTCTCCTGAGGTTTTCAGAAACCTCTCTGAAGATAGGAATCTCACTTTTCATTTGTTATTCTGGCACTTTTTCTGCTCTTTCCAGGCCCAGATGCCTTTTTGGGCTTCTCACCAGGCGTTATTTGGAATACACTGTTCATGGGAGTGCTGTCCCAAGGCCCCCTAGTGGATGCCTGAAATTGGGAGTCATACTGAACCGTGATAAATTTATAAATTAGGTACAAAAAGAGATGAACAATCACTAATGATAAAATAGAACAATTTCAGCAACATACTGTAATAAAGGGGAGACGACTCAGTGTTTCATCATGCTGTTCAGAATGGTACACAATTTAAATTATGAATTGTTTATTTCTGGAACTTTCCATGGAATATTTTTGGATGGAGATTGACCAGTAACAACTAAAACCACAGAAAGTGAAACCCTGGATAAGGCGGAACTGCTGTGCTCAGATTGTAGAGGCAGGTGATGGAATATTCCATGTCATTTGTCGGTTCTAGTACTGCAAAGTATAGTGATGAGTGCTGTGTAATTCCCAGTGGTATGTCAGTGTTTGGGAATCTTTTAGTAATTTATGTTTACTAAAAGTAGCAGCTGATAGAATGGATGTATCAAAGTAGAAACCACAGAAATGGAGGAATAAAGAAGGCCAGGGAATGCCAGCCTTGTTATGTGGGACAAACTGTGCAATTTTAAGATAATAGAGTAAAACAAGCAGTATCCAGTAATATTTAGTTTTTATATCTCTTTGGAGAATGACTTCTAGCTGGTGATGGTGGAATAAATACTTAAAAGGTGGCTGGAGTAGAAGAAAAATGAAGAAATAGCAGTTCTGAGTGATTTTAAGAAAAACCATAAGTCCAGGACTGGAATGACTGTGAACTTTATTTTGGGAAAGTTACTCAGTCTCCATTTTGTATCATTTCTGCAGCTATTACTTTCCAGCTTCCCTCTCCTCTGAACCACTCTGTGATACCCACTTCTCCAGCTTTTCTCCTCCTCTTTTTTTTTTTTTTCTTTTTTTGAGATACTGGGTATTGAACACAGGGGACATAGTCCTGCCACTGAGCTATGTTCCAGCCCTTTATATATATATTTTGAACTTTGAGACATGGTCTTGCTAAACTGCCTAGGCTGGCCTTCAGCTTGTGATCCTTCTGCCTCAGCCTCCCGAGTTGCTGGAATTGCAGGTATAGACCATGGGCCTCTCCAGCCCCTTTTCAATTGGGGAGTATTAATATTAAAAATAATACCTTTTAAAAAAGACAGCTGCATGAAGCAACAAAAAATCAGGTACAAATTGACATCTTCTCAGCTGTTCAGATAAATGTCGCTTTGAGACTTCCATGTATAAAAGAGAAGTATTTTTAAAATATCTGCTTTGCTTCACTGGGCATTCTGCCTACCAAGGGTATGCTTTCTCTAAATGTGTCTTACATTCATCCATTTCTCTTTGACTCCACTGCCATTGACCTTAGGGGAATCCACCACCATGTCTTCTAGACCACCCTCCATACAACCTTTTTCTTTCTTTTTTGTTTTAAATTTATTTTTTACTTGTAGTTGGACGCAATACCTTTATTTTATTTACTTATTTTTATGTGGTGCTGAGGATTGAACCTGGGGCCTTGCACGTGCTACCAGGGCCTTGCATCTTTGCAGCTCCTGTTCTTGCTGGAAGGTTTTCATTCTGTCTCTGCAAGAGACCAGGTTCTCATCCTTCAAAGATCAGTTTAAATGTCTTCTATCAAGAGAGGTTTCCCTGGGCACCCTGCCCTCCCCCAGCAATTACTCTGTCCCATTATTGCTGTGAAGAAAGTATTTAACCACCACCTGTGAGGTCATCATTGTGCATTTACTTGTGTTTTTCACATACCCCACCACCTTGATCTCCAAGGTAGCAAAGACCCTACCTGTACAAATGGTTACAAGGTGGGTAGTTACAAAAACTCTTGAATGAACTAATAAAAAAACTCATATGGCATTTTTGGTCTTAGTTATTACAATGACTTTCACAAAGGATATGTATATATCGAATTGTTGTGTACTGAGTCATTCAGTATACAAATTTTAAATTCACTAGAAGGGCTGTGGCTTAAAGTGCTGATTTTATAAAACATGTCACTTATATTCTCTTTTATAGAGTATAAGATTTTTATACCAGCTGTGTGTGTTTGTGTGTGTGTGTGTGTGTGTGTGTGTGTGTGTGTGTGAGAGAGAGAGAGAGAGAGAGAGAGAGAGAGAGAGAACATTTTTTAAACAAAAGCATTATTTAGTAATTTCTAGATTTTTTTAATAAACTTTAAAGCTGACCATACTCAAGAGACCTTTCATTAGTATCTGTTTAAAGTTTAAAATCCCCCCAAATGAAGACACATGCATGTACAAACACACACACACACACACACACACACACAGAGAGAGAGAGAGAGAGAGGGGGGGGGAAGAGAGAGAAATGTAATTTTTAAAATAAATTTTAATTTAAGGTGTTGTCTCACGTCCTGAGGTGTCTGGAGATTTAGACATTGCAGTTGATGCTTTCTCTTATACAAATGGTAAATGGGTTTCTTGCTTTTGCAATCTGCTTACTAAACATAAAAAGGAAAGTGCAAATATTGAATTTTGAATTTTCCCTTGATGCCATGATAAGGTTGCTAATTGAAATAGCCACATCAGAAAAGGAAAAGCAAACTTGGAACTGCTGAAAGCAACCTATTCACCCACAGATATCCCTTTAGCCTTCCAAGTGTCATGAGTAGTGCAGGCTGTTCACCATGTTCTTTCACCAAGCAACTGGTACTGAGGGGTACAGGAGCAAGGGACTACAGGTAATCCATAAGGTCATTTAAAGAGTAGGCTTTTCATAGCTGGAAAGCTTCTACAGAGATATGGAGATTGGTAGGGTGAACAGCAGCCTCCTGCCAATTTCTTAGTCAACCAATGGAACCCTATGGTTTTTTAGTAGATTAAGGTCTTGATCAATATTGTTCATTATTTATTTGGTATTAAGTAATACAATTTTAATGAAACTTCTTTAGAAATAGTACTTGGATATGTACTTGTAAAGAAAGTTTAAAACATGAAAGTTTGTTCCTGCAACAGTAAGATCCTCAATAGTCTTCATTATATTAGAAGTAAACAACATACTTTGCAAATGAGATCTTACCTTGGCTTTATAATATAGTATGTCCTTCAGAATCTCGGCCACGCTAAGCACACTGTTTCTGGAAAAAATTCAACATTTGTTGTCTAGAACTGGGGAACGTTTGTGTGTTGAGTGTCTTAAGTTTGCCCTGATTTAACTTCCTGTTTTCCCTTTCTCTCTTCTCATCAGCACAACCCACAGTTTCCTTTTTGGAGCTCTGGCTGAATTGCTGGACAATGCCAGGTAGGTTTGGCTGTTGTTGGAATTCCATGACATAAATCTAGTCCCGTTATCTTTGAAGATAAAGATACACTGTCATTTTCCCCCATTTAGAATGTTTTGCTCGATTTCTGTTTTAGTCAGTTTTTTTTTTTTTTTGCTGTGACTGAGGAACCCCGCCAGAACAATAGTAGAGGATTAAAGGTTTATTTAGAGGCTCGAAATCTCAGAGGTCAATCCACAGCAGCAGGCTCCACTACTCATACATCAAGGTGAGGAAGGATATCATGGCAGAAGACTGTGTCAGAGGGAACCAGCTCACATGATGATCAGAAAGCACAGAGACTCCACTCTCCAAATACAAAATGTACACCCCACAGCCATGCCTCCAATGAACCACTTCCTCCAATCACACCCCACCTGCCTTCAGTTACCACTCAGTTAATTCCCATCAAGGGATTAATTCACTGATTGGATTAAGACTCTCACAACCCAATCATTTCTCCTCTGAACCTTCTTGCATTGTCTCACTCGTGAACTTTTGGGGGACACTTCACATGAACAACCATAACAATTTCCAGCATAATCAAAATACTATGGGAAAAAGAACAGATGAAAGAAGGAATTAGTCACCTTTGTTTAATTTGCCTTTATGATTAAACTTGAAATGAAGGCAAACTGAACTTCTGCGTTAGTGTTGATAGCCATGTAATAGTAGACATTTGGATGTTTCTTCAGTTACAGATCAGTGTACACTTTGTCTTGAGAAATGACATTTGGGTTTAGCCTTTATTGAAGGCTGCCTTGAGGTGAATTGTGTGGTTAGTCAGAAAATGGCTAACTGTTCTCCTCCACCTATGTGAGTGACATGCGCAGTGTTCCCTCATTCGTCCTATGACATCGCGCTGAGGGGGGAATCATTACCCTAGTTTTACATATGTGGAAATCTGTGCATAGAGAAGTTAGATGTTTTATTCAAAGTTCTATAATTACTCTTTGGTAGAGATAGAGTTCCGATTTGTACCATTTGGCTACAGAACCCCAGTACCCTATTTCACTGTCTCTGACAAAAGGAATGAAGGTTTAAAGAACCTCTTTAATAATTTTAGTTCCACTCAATAATAGATGTGTGGAGAATTGGGAGGGACTCAGTTATCTAGCTAAACTGAATATGGCCTTTGATGGTTTTTATACTTGTACTTCACTGTTGCACAGATTTTTTTTTTTTGTCCCTTCTCTGCAGAAAGCAAAGTCTATCTAGAAAATAGTGTGCCATTGTTAGATCAGAGATCCCAGTAGGGGCACTTAAATTTCTGCAACTGGTTGGTTTATAGCATATGTTAGTTTTTTGTGTTTGTCCTCCATTTTTGGCTTTCAAAGGGAAATGACCTTTCTGACAGGGTGTGGTCAGTTAACCAGCCATCCACGAATTTCTACCCAGCACTGTGCCCATTGCTAGGTAAAAAATTTCTAGTTCCTCCTTTTATGAAACACTCTGTAGGGATAATGCAATCACAAAAAGGGAAGGAAAAAGGAGAAAAAGCATAAAGTTGATTGGTCAGGGAGCCATGAACCCAAGCAAATTAGAAGGAGCTCACAGGGAAAGGGCCTGGGCAGATGAACAGTCATGGTTAGTTTCTTTGTGGGAGACAAGAGTGGCTGCTGTTGTTTCTGAAGCAAGGCTTTCCTACCTTTCCCGAGTGCTCCTTTTCAGCAACTTGTTCTCAAAGAGCACATTTGTCCACAGCGCTATCTGTCTTCTCCTCTGAAGTTGTTTCGTTCATTCATTCATTCATTCTACCAGGCACAGGAAATCAGCACGTAGTAGAACAATGGGAACACTTTACATGGTTGGGGTGATTGGGTGACTGGGGAAGAAAGATTAACTTTGGACTTGAAGGAAGGAGAGAAATGTGATCAATAAAGCAATTCTTGGGGCAGCATTTGTAAACTGGCAGCCCCTTGACCAGGTTTAGCTTGTCTCATGTTTTTCTCATAGTGAAAGTTTACACAGTGTTCAGAAACAAAAGGAAGAGAAAAGGTAATTGTAAGGTTTAAGACACAAGAGGCACCACATACACAATCGGGTCCCCTATATTTCCTGAAAGATGAGAAGGAGAAGCATCCTTGAGAGTACACTCCTCTGGGATCAGGGCTAGAGGAGGAGCTGGGGCTTTGGTGGGACCAGCCTATGCCTTCAGGTATGTCTCAGGACCAGTGTTACTCCAACAGCTTGAACCTCTCAGTTTTTCTGTCTTCTGTGGATACCTCAGTTCTCTGCCACTGCTTAGATGCTAATATTTGACAGAAAATGAAACTATTTTGCAGACTTATTCAAGATGCTCAGTTGGTCTTATGTGTTATTTTAAGAATTTTCAAATATTATTGTGTTCAAAATTTTGGTGATACCCTGTAGTTGTGAAAATTATAACTGAAAGATATTAAAAATATTGCAGACAGGAGAAAAAATGTGATGGTATAGGAATGGACGATTAGGGGCCTCCTCCTAATACCTTAGCTATTCAAAAAGCAAGTATCTAGGGCTGAAACACAAAGGACATGATAAAGTGTCTTAATATGATAAAAAGGTGAGTCCTTATGTTATGCCTCAACTGTAAAAAGAAACTATTTCTTTATAAACTTTCTTTTCCGTATATTGGCATTTACTGAGCACATACTATACAATGTGGTACTTTGTACAAAGCATAATTTCATAATAGAGATATTGATACATGCATGTCGTGGGATTGTGGTAAGGATTAGAAGAGAATTTTCAAAAAGACTTCATTTAGTGTTTAGTTGAGACGTGAAATGCTCTAGAAATGGCAGTGGTAGCTCTAGAACTTCTGTGTAAGGAGGACTTAGAATCATCAACTGACTAGAGGAACGATTTATAAAGAACTAACTTCTAGGGTCATAGGGCAAATACAGTGTTACTACTCAAATTTGTTTGGGATAGTTTTAGCTTGGGACTAAAGGAAATTTGGGGAAAGACTCAAGTTTCCCCATCAGAGTTGCACTCATTATCTTACCGAGCTTCCCTTTCTAAAAGGATCTACCATCCTTCCCTTCCATACTTTCTTCCTCATTAGCTATACCTCCTTTATCTCATACCTATGAAACATATCATGAAAACCATTCTATGACTTCTGGATCATTCTTTGGCCAGTTTTTTTAAAAATACAAAATTCATGTTCATTCTAATGAGCTTTTTGTGTAACTACCACTAGATTCCATCTCTTTTTTAAAATTTCTGAGTTTTAGCTTTTGTAATATTCTCAAATCATCAGTGATGATAGTTGTTAGTATATAAATGCACAGTGAAACATTATAGTAATTGATTTTGAAGCAATTTAAGTGGCTTTTTGTATTGTTTGATATCTGACAGTAGGTTATACTTCGCATAAGCAAGTTAGATTAATATAATTTTTTAAACATAATTTCAATTGAAGCTGTGATATTTTTATATTGTTTTCAGAGATTCAGGGGCTGCAAGACTTGATGTGTTTTCAGGTGAGTAGACTTCCTTTCTTCTTTTTTCTTCTTTTTCTAAGGGAAAAGCTTGTAGCTATTTTGCATGTATTTTATTTCATGGAATTGAGTCACATTCTATAGATTTTAATGTAATCTAAGTGCTTTGTGAACGCAGGAACCCTATGGGGAGCCGGGTCGGGAAAAGTACACCCTAAGAGTCAAATTGTTCTTTTATTAGAAGACCCATTTACAAAATTAGGCCTTCCAGAGTTTTGTGAAAGAACCAGAGTGGTTTAGAGCTGTAGATTTGTTTGCTGTGAGAAACAGTTTTCTTTCAAAAAGCAGATTAACTTAATGGTTATTCATAATTAAGCAAACATTATTTTCAACTTATCATAGTTTTAAAATGCACAAGTGAATGTGCAGTATGAATATTTTAGTGCTGCAAAATTCAAACCAAATGTTTTCTTCATTGACTTCATTTTGTAGTTCTAAATTTTTATTGCACTTATTAGTTAATCTCATTTAATATGATGCCAGTGACAGTAGGTTCTGCGATCCTGCCCTGTATGTACTCAGTGCCACCCAGAAAATTGCCCCTAATGCTAACACCGCTTCTCTACCCTGATTCTGTCAGCTGCTCTGTTATATTGGTAATTGATCACAAGTGAGAGGATATTGTCCATGATGTTAATCCACGTCGGCACTGAAAAAGCAACTCAGTTCTGTTTGCTTTTCTGTGCATTTAGGATTCTGAGCCAGATGAGTGCCATGGTTCATGAAGGAGATAGATGTGGATGCCTTGAGGTATCTGAGGAAACAAGAAATGACACTCTTTTCCTTCTTCTACTCTCCAAGTCCTGAAAAGTCTGAGAAATAAATGCAAGAATCATCCTCCATCGCTGATAGATGTTAGGTTGGAGTGTCTGGCTTTCATGACAGAGTGAAGGATCCAGGATGGGGCTGCTCACAGCCGGGGAATCAGCTTCCATCCCAGACTGGTCCACTCTGGGATGAAGGGAGCAGACTTCAGGCTGTCTGTAGGCAGCTCTCTCCCAAGAGGAAAAGGGGTTTGAATTGAGCCTTACCAGGGGTTCTTCCCTCAGGGACCAATAAAAGGAGGGAGTCTATATTGACAGGGGAAAAATGAGTCAAAGAAAGAGTGGGCCTCCTTCATGGGGGAAAACTAGCCTTTCCTTTCATATTCAGTTACAGATGTTCCTTGACTTCCAGTGGAAACCCACTGTAAGTTGAAAATACCATGAGTTAAAAATGCATTTAATGCCTCCAAGCTACTGAACAGCAAAGCTTAGCCACACAGGATTCTGTAGAGTGTTGATTTGTTTTAATCCTGAAATTGGCTGACTGGAGACCGTGGCTTTCTGCTGCTACCCAGTATTGGGAGATAATATTCCAGGATCATTGCTAGCCCAGGAAAAGTTAAAAATTTAAAGTTTAAAGTATAATTTCTACTTTGTTTGTATCATAGAGTCAAAAAGGTTTTAAATTAGAAACCATCATAAGTTAGGGAACTTTTGTGTATAGCGTAATATAAATATCTCCTGTCTGGGAAAGAATCAGAGTATGGTGGAAACAGAAAGAAGACATTAAGTTCATATTATGGATCTAGAGCTTGAAATATGGAGGTGATTTTTCTCAAATAATCTAGAAAAAGAATCAGAGTATGGTGGAAACAGAAAGAAGACATTAAGTTTATATTATGGATCTAGAGCTTGAAATATGGAGGTGATTTTTCTCAAATAATCTAGAAAAAATATTCTTGTCTGAAGAATTATTTTGAGAAAAAGAATGGAGGTAGAGTAGTTGAGGGATTTATTCATTTATTCAATGACAATTTATTGAGTGTCTGTTATTGTAGGTGCTGGGGATAGAGTATTAAACAAAAGGTCCTGTGCTCTCATGGAACAGGCATTCTATTGGGGGAGAGATGGACAATAAAGAAATGAACAAATAAATCATATTCCAGCAATAAGAAGTATTAAAAGGGAAATGACAAGAGCATATTTGGACAATAGAGAGTGATGGGAAGATTATACAGTTTTACACAGGGGGCGGTTCCCTTAATAGGTGAAATAGCATTGAAGACCTGCATGATGTGGGAGTGAGGCATGGAGATAAGTGGAGAAAAAGCATTCAGGAAAGAGTGACTAGGCTCCTTGGCTAGAGCTAAGGGTTAGAGACAATTGGATGAGTCTCTTGAATATTCTGCACAGTGTCATTACCCTAAGTAGATGTGTCCTCTTTTTCTCTTTTTAAAGAAAGATACTCCAGTAATAGCATAGAAAGTATTCTGAGGGAATATGAAAGCAGGGATCACAGGGAGTGTGGCTATGAAAATTAAGCAAGATTTCATGAAAATTTGAATTAGGGCAAGGGTCCTGGAAATTTGAGAATAGAGACGAATGTAAGCGACACTTCATTCAGAGCATGTGTAGTATTGGCAAGGGCCAGGAAGACATCCAGAATCACAAAGTACTACAAATTTCATTAGAATGCACATGCTGCACTCTGGGTGTGTGACAGGACTCCAGGAGGGGATGGGAGTGCTGATTTCACTGCACTTTCCTGAGTGCTCAGTATTATCATATGCAAACAAAATAGGATCTAGGCTGATTAGAAATGGAGGTGGTACTCGTTCTTTCTTTAGGTTATGCGGATTTTGTGAGAAACTGAATTTATCATTTTCAGTTTTAAATTACCTATTCATATTGTAACATTTTATATGGCAGCAAACCATCATTCATATCGCTTTCAACCTAGTAAAATTGATTTTTTAAAAGTGAGGGCCAATGCTTAATACTCATAAATAGAATTGTTCTGGGCTTGCATAGTTAATCTAAGATTGGACTAATTTTCAAATGATTTACCGAGGCCTTGAATTACTCCCCAGTTGGTTTCCTTCAAGTAATTTGAGGTCTATAAAATTCAAACTAAATATGTTTCACTGTGGTGTTTAAATGCCTCTGTACATCAATTCTAGTAAAGATGGATATGCATCGAATAGATTTTTTTCAGTGCTCACCAAGTGCCAGGCACTGAGCTAAGTACTGAGTATACACAGTGCTCACTTTTAAGGAGTTGACATCCCTGTACGGAAAATGTACTATATATCTACATGGGTGGAGGATGCATAGATTTTGTCTATCTCTGGGGTAACTGTGATCCTTGAAACTAAAGGAACCATTGATCTGGAAGAGAAGTAAACACCTGAGTAGGTATTTTAACTTTCTATGAAAGTGGGAAAACACAAGTTAGGAAGAGAACATTCATTCTGGGCACACAATGACATTGCAAGGTTAAGAAACCTTTCTAGGGGCTGGGGATATAGCTCAGTTGGCAGAGTGCTTGCCTGGCATGTGCAAAGCCCTGGGTTCTATCCCTAGCACCACACACACACACACACACACACACACACACACACACACACGCGTGCGCGCGCGCACAAAAGAAATCTTCCTGGGAGAAGTCTTCTACGAACCAGTCCACAGGGACAGTAGGCATCCACCTGTGAAGAAGACATGGGAAAGATGGGGGCAGTGCCTGTGACGCCTTGACTCTTAGGAGAACTGTGAAAACCTGCGATGTTCAGGATTAGTTCAAGGGAAGTGTTTGTGTGCAAGAGGAGGGTGGCAGCATTGGCTGGTCAGGAATGACAAGAGATGGGCCTGGAGAGGTGAGAGGGCCAGATCATAAGGGGCAAGCATTTGCTAAGTGGTTTGTGTTTTATCCTGAGAGCAACAGGAAGCCATAGAAGGTGTTGGCAGGAGAGTGGCAAAATGCACAGATGACTGCAAACAGGCTGCACCTTTCAATTTAGGGATAGAAGTTAGGGAACAGTTTTCATAATCCAGAAAAAAAAAATGATGTCTTCCTAAACCAAAGCAGAGTACTGGGGATAGAGAAAGTGGTCAAATCAGAGAGGTGGGGTCTACTGGGAGATAGTTAGGTCCTTCAAACCACTGCCCTTGGGAGGATTAATGCTGGGCTCATAGAGTAAGTGAATTCTCACATAAGCGGGTTGTTATAAAAGACTGAGGGGCTTGGGTTGTAGCTCAGTGGTAGAGTGCTTGCCTAGCATGTGTGAGGCACTGGGTTTGATCCTCAGCACCACATAAAAATAAATAAATAAAATAAAGGTATTGTGTTCATCTACAACTAATATATATATATATATAAAATAAATAAATAAAACTGAGTCTGACCCCTAGGTCTCTGGCTTCCTGTTTTTCCATGTGATCACTCTAGCATGTGCTCCCACATGCCTTTTGCCAATGTGACACCATTTACCATAAACCCATCACCAGAGCTGAAGTCCATGGAGGTCTCAAACCTCCAGAATTGTGAGATAAACCTCTTTTCTTCACAAATTATCCAGCCTCAAGTATTTTGTGATAGCAACAGAAAATGGGCTAACACACTTAGATATGTCTTTTAGATATTTATTCATAGGCTATTTTAAACATTGTTTAATTTTTAAACGTGAGTGAATGAATTTTAGTTAACCTTTCAACAGAAAGATTTGCTTAAATGTATTAGAAAGCACTCCATGGAGACAAAGCAGATTATGGATTGCCTGGGCGTGAGACAAGAGTGAGGGGCCATGAAAGCAGAAGAACGGAGGGAGTACTGAGGGCGAGGAGGAAACATTTGGGGTGATGACTATGTTCACTGCCTTGATTGTGATGATGGGTTACTGATTTGTCAAAATTTATCAAATTATGTACTTTAAACATATGCAGTTTTTTGGCAAAATTTATTTCTTAATAATAGTTATCAAAAAGGAATGTTCTTGAACTCATATATCCAGCTGTTTGAAATTATCTTCAGAGTCAGTTTACAAACTGTGCACTGAAATTATTCTCATTAGTTTTAGTTCCATCTTTAACATTTTTAAAGCCAGAGATTATATTATGTAATTTAATGGTGTCTTTTAATTATCAAAACTGATTTCAGATAACTTAGCCATTTTCAAAAACCCAAATGCATTTTCAAGAGGCAAATATTTGCTGCCACAAAGAAACACTCACAAAAGACTCTTGTGGGAATTAACTACTTAGAAGGGAGCCTGATGAATTTAATAAGAATGTGCTAGATTTATTTTAGAATCAGTGCTTTGGTGGAAGGGCATAAAGGTCGATCAGTTTGACAGAGGGATCCTGGGGTCACATTGCCATCTCCCTTTTTCCTTCCCCTCGGGAAGAAATACCTGAAGTTGAAGGGATTGGTCCAGTTCCAGAGCAGGGTATGTCCTGCTGCACACATAATTCCTTAACATGTAGATGTTTTATGTTAATGTAAAGCCTTTGTTGCATGGTTGTTCTTCCCCTGCAGTTTCTTATGAAGCTGTAGCCAGGACTCCATTCTGAGCTTCCTCATTGTGCCATAACTCTGTCATTCTGTGACTGCAATTGAAAAGGACGAATAATTATGCGAGCAGCATGACTTTCTGACGAACAAATTAAGCCCAATATTTATTAGTAATAACTGCTTTCTCTTACAGTGGATAATGAAAAACTGCAGGGTGGATTCATGTTATGCTTCCTGGATGATGGATGTGGCATGAGCCCTGGTAAGTTAATTATCTAGATACCTAACTGGCTGTTAAAGGGAACAGCCTGAAAACCCATAAAATAAATAAAAATAAATTGAGCTCTCTATTGAAAAACAGGTATGGAGCTATTAGGGAAAATAAAGCCCAGACTTATTGTCAAAGTTTTCAGGTTTAAATATTCCAGCTGGCAGAGTAAATTCATTACAATCATCGAAATCAAGATAAAAAAGTGAAAGTAAATAAATTTTGTCAGAAAAATGAAAGACAAATGGTACTGATTGCAAGACAAAGCATCTTACCTCTAGTATCTGAATGGGCTTTAAGATTGTTTTAGTCTATTCTTTTAGCTATTGTTTGCAAGAGCCCCAAGGCAGTTTCCAGTGCCTATAGGCTATTTTAAATTTTCCCTGTAACCCTGAAGAAAAGGTCACTTCTCCTTATCTTTAGTAGTTTGCATGGATTTTTTTTTCCTCTGAATGTTCAAAAGTTTAGTTGTTTCAGATAAATTTTCTCATCATAACAAAGACATCTACAATATATTGCATGACTTATCCTTAGATATTTAATGCTACCACAAAGCCAGCACATAGTAGGTGTGTTCAAATGCTGTGTTGTTGAAGTTATTCCCTCTAATAAAAGCTTTGCATAGTTTTAGTATTCATATTCCTGAATTCTTATAATACTTTGTGTATCACAGGCTACAGTCTTGGCTACTATGCTTAAAAAATGCTGAGAGAGTTGAGATGTATTATGGAAATGTCCTGGTCGGCTGCACATCTGAGGAAAGGGTGATAATCAATGCTGAGCTGATATAAGCTGAGAATACAAAGTAGAGCAATTACCTTCTTCCAAATCTGAAGTCTCCCCTTGGTCTGAATAGTCAAAGAATATTTATTAGCAAGCTTAGAAAACGCTCAACTATCCCACCCAGTTCTTGTTCTGACTTTGTTGTAATAATTTTGATTATCTCAGTTCATTTTGATTAAAGTATTATTGATTCCACAGTGTTTAAATATGAGAAGGTAAAGAGGCTGTAAGAAAATCATGCTGAAAATGTCTTATTTTTCACTACTAGCCTGAATGCTAAGTGTTTTCCTGAATTCTGAAAATAAATGACAGAATATATGTGATATGGTCTAAGGGAATGCTTTACAAAACGAAGCAGTTTTAAAATATAGGTCATGAAGAAATCATTAAAGCACAAACAAATTTTCAGACCTTCAGAAGGAACTCATATCTCAGTAGACATACAGATGGTCCCTGTCTTAGGACCATTTTTTGACTTTACCATGGTACTGCAGGGATATGCATTCAGTAGGAAATGTACTTTGAATTTAGGTCTTTTCTTAGATTAGCAGAGTACAACTGTTAGGCTGTACTAGAGTACTCTTTTGTGATGCTGGTCTATGGTAGGTAGCCAGAGCCCCAAGTCAGCCTCATGATCGTAAGGGGAAAGTAGCACAGTCCAACATGTACTGTGTAGCTGAGGTATTGATAGTGTTAGGAGTATTAAATGAATTTTATACTTTCTGTATTTCAATTTATTATGGATTTAGCAGGGATGGATTTAACCTCATTGAAAATTGAGAAGCATCTGCATGTAGTAGGACAAGCACAGTATTATTGAGAAAGCACTTCTTAATGAATATTGGAAATCAAGTATTAAGTTTGAAGGAAGAGTTTATCTTAGGTGACTGAATATAGAACTTACCAGTTGTTCAAACAAAGCTTGACCCATAGAAGATGACTACAGAAATTTTCAAATTTTGGTTTCTTATTTTCCTCCAGTGTTTCCCATCATGGTCTGTTCCCTATACATCAATCTTTCTTTTTTTTTTTTTAATACCTTTTTATTTATTTATTTTTATGTGGTGCTGAGAATTGAACCCAGGGCCTTGTACATGCTAGGCGAGTGCTCTACCGCTGAGCCACAACCTCAGCCCTCAACCTTTCTTTAAATATTATATATTTATCCTGTTGAATCAGTGATTTTTCCATTGCATAAGAATAAAATTCAGTAACACTCCCCAGATTAACTTGTGAGATCTTGCTTATTTGACTCTGCCCACCTTCCTGGCCTTTTCTAGTTCTGCTCATTTCCAAGCTCTGATTACATTCCAGCCATTCCTGGTTGGACCCTCATCATTTGGATCTCTCCCCAGACGTCAACTTTCTGAAAGTGGCCTTACCCCTGAAGACCATACCCCTGTTAAATCTTTAACACATTTTCCTGGTTTTGTTACTTTCACTTAATCCTCTCAAAAATTATCTTATTTTCTATGTATTTCCATTTCTTTCTCCTATAATGACACAATGCAAATCATAATATCTTCCTTGTAGATTTATTATAAATATTAAATAGGAACAATGAATGCCAATTAATCAATATTAATCAATCAATCAATCAATCAATAACAGTGGCTAACATTGTTATCATGGATCCCTTCCTCATAAGGCTCATCCCTGTATAAGAACGTCCAGCACACACCACCTACCAGTTGTCCCTGAACTGTAAACATGTCTGTACCTGACACAGGGTCCTCAAGACAATTCTAAAACACGTGTCCAGGTAGGCTAACACGAATATTCTTGGTTCTAGAGATCAGAGTATTCTTAAATCCAGAAGATTCCTCTCTAGAACTTGGGGACTTCTGGGAGAGATCAGGAGAATGACTCTAGAGGTCTGAGATGGTTAGCCATTTTCCCCTACCTAGGTGGTGTCGAAGCAGAAGCCATTCTGTCCTGAGTCTCACCTGGGCCTGGATAAGGGCCAAATTTATGACGAAATTATTAGTAGTACAAATAATTATGACACTTATAATCTCTTAATGCTTATCAAGTGCCAAGTTGTGTACCCAGAGTTTCACAGATACGTCTTCTTATTTAATGTGTTTTCTTCATCTTCATCAATAACTGTGATAGAAGTGCTAGCAGTTCTATCGCTTTTTTAAAAATACTTTTTAGCTATTGATGGACCTTTATTTTATTTATTTGTATGTGGTGCCAAGAATCGAACCCAGTATCTCACACATGCTAGGCAAGTGTTCTACCATTGAGCCACAACCCAAGCCCCAGTAGTTCTCTTTTAAAAACAAGGACATCGAGGCTCAGAGTTTTAAACTCTACCCCTACCTGGTGAGGTCACAGGGTATGGTCTGTCTGACCTCCTTCATTACAACTGCTTTAAGATCCTGAAGTACACAATTTGCAGTAGATACATCAATTTAAAAGAGGCTTGTATAAAATTAACATAAATTAATCCCAGAAACCCAAACCAAACTTTTTCCATTCCAGTATATTGTTAATGTAATTCTGATATTTTCATAGCACTATAGCATCCATGGAAATCCTTTAATTCAATCACTATAGATATTTGAACATAAATGTTCAAGATTATTTTCACATTTTTATTATTATGACTAATAAGACAGTGAACAGTCTCATATAGCTATCCATCTCTTTACCTGTGTGAGAATTTTCATGGGATTCATATCTAGAAATGGACTTGCTTTGTCAAATTAAACTTGGGCTTTGAAAACTGAAGAAAAAAAAAGGTTCTTCTCAGAGATTATGGGTCCTGACATGAATCTTCGCCTTTGACTGCCCAAGAGCTGTGGACTTGTCCCAAAGTCCTGTGGTATGTGTGGGGTCCTGACAACTGGGCCTCAGGCTAGTGTCAAAGTGTCTTCCTAAGCACCTTAAAAGATAGTCTTTTGTCAATTACAGAGGAAGCTTCAGACATCATTTACTTCGGCACATCCAAGAAACGTTTATCAACCTTGAAGTTCATTGGACAATATGGCAATGGTCTTAAAAGGTGAGAATTTTCCCCCTTAGGGCATGTGTTATTCATACTGGAAACACAGAATGTAGAGCTTTTAAAAAAAGAGCATAAGTCCTGGGAGGGAGTCTTGTTTTGGAATCTCCAACCCATAACTGACTAGGATCTTTAAAGCATTTAAAAAACTAATTCTCACATATATTAAGATGAGTCTTGCAGGCACTTCCTGAAGCAGTGACTTTGGAGTTTCATGTTCTGTTATTTCTCAACATTCACTTTAGCCAATATGTTGTGTGTCAGCTTTTTCTTAGTTTGCCTCAGTGAGAGGTGAGGACATGGTGCTTACCTGAGTGGTTCCTGCTTCTGGGTTGATCTTTGAACCTTGGATGGAACATTATCCCAGTAGCCATGTCTCAAACATGAGTTGGGGCTGCATCCATTCAAATTCATTGTCTCTGCTTTGAGAAATAATACTTGTGCTCTCTTGGTGATGGGTCCGTAAGACCAGTTGCTAAAAAGAACAAACCCATGCCCACTTATTTCTTCTTTGTTTAGTGTTTGAGATATAAATCATTATGTTATTTATCTTTGATACAGTGGGTCCATGAGAATTGGAAAAGACTTTATTCTTTTTACGAAGAAGGAAGAAACGATGACCTGTGTGTTTTTCTCTCAGACATTTTGTGAAGGAGAAGGTCTTAGTGAGGTAAGATTTGGGGATTTTTCTTCCATTCCCATGGCAATAATGCTGTTTTCATTTATCCTCTCAGGAGGTGAAGTCTGTTATGACTGAAGGTGCCTGTGCACTCTTAGGGGGTCACTGGAAGCCATTGCTGAGATTCCAGGACACAGTCTCACACATGCTAGGCAAGTGCTGTACTTCTGAGCACCATCTCTAGCCCCTGGAAGTCTTTCTTGAGAACTTTATTTTCATTCTCCTTATGTCCAGTTCTCCCAAAATAGAGGTTTCCTTGCATATAAGGAGATTTCTAGAAGAAGCTTGCAAAATCTTTCTACTGCTTGTGGCATAAAAGTATTATTGCTTTTAAAATAAATAAAATATTAGGGGCAAAGACTTAGAAAACAAAATGTAGAAAAAAAATTGAATGCAAAATAGATTTAAAACCATAATTCTTGTGGCCATACTTTTAACTCAGTATTTGCTGACCCGGAAACATTTTATTAATGTCAGTTATGATTCAGAACAACAAATGGGTGCTGGGGAGTGGCTGTGTGCTCAGCACCCTACAGACTGTGATGGGCAGAAAGCCAGCTGAAGACCATGTGACCATCAAAAAGCTTTCAGTCTTGTTTGGAAATAAGGTAGACATGTGATTGGACAAATGACAAAACGAGGCTATATAAAAAGAACATTCGTTGTTGAATAAGTGCGTGTGTGTGTTATGAAATTGTCCAAAACTGTAATAAAAAGAGAGGATGAGAGAGCTTTGAGTGGCCAGTGAGTGTTCTATAGAGAGAGCATGGCTCGAAGCTGGACAGGCTGGTGTGTGGAGAAAAATGGTCCACAGCCAGTCTTGGGCTTGGAGATGCACTGGAAAGCCAGCTAGAGGTGTGAGCCTGCCTCAGGGTGGGGTGGGGCTTGACAACACAGGTGAGGGTCAGCTGTAAGGAGTGGCTTACGGGAGCCTTATAGCAGGAAAAGAGGTGCTGTCAGTGGTTATGTTGAATCCTGTACCTGTGAAGAGCCTGGGGTTTGGGCTAAAGCGCTGAGGTCATAGCTCCCCAAATGGGGCATTTCCCTTTTTATTTATTTATTTATTTATCATTTGATCTTATTATTTTTTTAAAATGCAGGACAACAGTGGAATGCATTACAATCCTTATTACACATATAGAGCACAATTTTTCGTAAAAAAAAAAAAAAACCTTAAAAACACTCATAACTTTTGCATCCACAGAAGCAACTTCTTCCAACCGTGTTAAATGATTTCGTTGAGATCTGCCTGCGTGTCTCTAAGGAGCATGCTTGCACTTGATGTTATTTAGGTGTTCTCCACTAACCTCCTCCTATGGAAGGGGATTTAAACCTATCTACCTTCTCTTCTGTGCTCCTGTCACCCCTGGACTTCCAGCCCTCCACCTCACTGGCGCCCTACTAACTTTGGTTATGCCAGTGCTCGGTGTGTTCATTTCAGACTGTGTATACACTATTCACAGGAGCTCATGTCATAAACTGTTTTGTTTTTCCTAATGTGCACAACTTTTTATTTCTCTAGAATGACTGACTGCTTTCTTTTCTGGACACTCACCACTGTCACTGAAAACTGCCCTGCTTCTCTGTTACAGGTCGTGGTTAACCCCAGTCTAGCTTGCTCTCCTCAGCTCCAGCTTCCTTATGCACTCTGTTCAGAGCCCTGTCATGTGCTTCAGCTCCCACACCCGCTCTCCATGGCCGGAGGTCAACAGGCATCCTAGGATCTGATCTGCCCTTGCAGTGGTCCTGGGTGTCATCTCTTCTCTGTCAGATCCCAGATCCTAAAGCTCATGTCTTCTTTCACAACTTGTGTAACATAGTCTGCCATTTTATCTTGGGATGGGAAGCAAGATCTTCTTAGACCACCACACTTTAGAATGCTGTTATTCTTCCCCAACACTCAGTTATAGTTTGGGTTGTTATCATCTTTGAGCTGAAATTCATTTTCCTTCAAGATTTTATCTTTATACCTTTTCATTTAGCACAAGTGATTGAACCCTGGGGCGCTTAACCACTGCGCCACATGGCCAGCTCATTTTTATTTTTTGTTTTGAGACAGACTCTCACTGAGTTGCTTAGGGCCTCACTAAGTTACTGGCTTTGAACTCATGATCCTCCTGCATCAGCCTCTTGAGATGCTGGATTACAGGTGTGTACCACTGTTCCTTCAAAATTTACTGAGAAAACTGAAGCCATTTAATTTTATTCCTTCATCTCTACTTTTTGAAGGTCAAAAGCAACTTTGTCCCCAATGTTCTGAATTCAGAATTTTACCTGTCTGATCTATTTATATCCATTGTCCTGGGCACATACAGAATCTTTTCAACCTAGAAATCATATCCTTGTAAATCTGGGGTAACCTCCTGTAACACTGATAAATTTCTCTTCCTCCTTCCCTCCCTCCCTCCCTTCCTTTTCTTATCTTTCTCTCTCACCCATTTCCCTCCCCCTCCCTCCCTGTTTCAGGACTGAGGTCAGGAGTGCTCTATCACTAAACTACATCCCCAGATATTTAAAATTTTTAATTTGAGGGAGGGTCTTGTTAAGTTGCCCAGGCTGGACTTGAACTTGTGATCCTTTTGCCTCAGTCTCTCAAATAGTTGCGATTATAGTTGTATGCCGCTGTGCCCCGCAACACTGATGATTTTCTTTCATCCATATTCTCTTTACTCTCCTTTTGCCACTGTTTTTAGCTCTTGGACTTCTATAAGTGGTTCTTTGATTTTCTTATTTTTCTCTTCTATTTTCTGTCTTTCATAGTTTTGTTTTCTGGGAGATTTTTCAACACTTATTTTCCAATTCTTTCATAAATTCCTTTTATAATTATATTTTTAATTTATAAGAAGTCTTTTTAAAAATTCTCTCAGTGATCTTTTTCCAAAGATATCTGATTCTTATTTCATGGATACAGTATTTTTCTTATAGCACTGAAGATTTTAATAAATTTTTTAAAAAAATCAAAATTGTCATCCTCCTCTTACGGTTTCTATTTCCACTGAGTTGCTTAGTTTCTATTTGTTGACCTGGTTTCTGTTTATCGTATTAGAGGCTTTTCTTAGATGGCTGTTATTCCTAAACATTTAAAAAAGTAGTCCAACAAAATGCTGATTGAGCTGGGTGTGGGAGTTTCAGTGATATGATCTAAACAGGTTGTTTTATTGGGGGATTCTTGATGTCATTTTCTTTAGGTCTTTCCTTCTGAGCTGGTCTGATTTGTAAGAGAAGACTCTTGCAGTCTTCTTCCTGGAGGCCTAGCTGCCAGCCTTCTGGGGGCAGATGAGACAAGATGCTGAGATTTTCAACATCCGGCATGTACACTTTGACTCAGTCCCTTAAATCTCAATAGGCTTCCCCTAACAACTCTGTGTCTTCTCATCCAGAAACACATTGTTCTAGTCTTCAGAGAGTGAGCATCCAGGGGCTCTGGGGTTTGGAGGAGCTGTTGCCAGATGGGGATCTAGATGCTGCTTCTGGCTTTCATGCTGTCAATCTGAATTGTAAATCAGGCTGACTCTTCTCTTTTCTGGCAAGGGCTGTGGATTGTATTTCTTGGTATGCTGTCATCTGCTTTTCCATTTCTAAAGTGCTGATACTATTGTTTCCTCTGCCATTCCATCCATCTTTCAAAAGGGCATGGAGTTGGCCTCCATCTGTCGGCACATTCCACAAGTATACAAATTTGTTATCTGTCTCTTCTTTATAAAACTAAAATATGGGAGGAAAATAAACTTTTAACTTTGTATTTTATGATTTGTTTGAAGAGTAGAATAAACTAGGATCAGACAAAAAGATGGTGGATCTTGTGTATTTAATAATAAATCAATGTGGGCTGGGGATGTGGCTCAAGCGGTAGCGTGCTCGCCTGGCATGTGCGGGGCGCTGGGTTCAATCCTCAGCACCACATTAAAAAAATATAATAAAGATGTTGTGTCCACCAAAAACTAGAAAGTAAATATTAAAAAATTCTTTCTCTCTCTCTTAAAAAAATAATAAATCAATGTGTATGTGTGTGTGTTTGTTTATTTTTAAACAGGTTGTAGTTCCAATGCCTTCGTGGCTGACAAGAACCAGAGACTCTGTCACAGATGATCCACAAAAATTCTCAACAGAATTGTCTATAATTTATAAATACTCCCCATTTAAAAATGAAGCTGAATTAATGCAACAATTTGATGTGATCTATGGAAAATGTGGTAAGATCATCAGAATTCTGAAATTTGATGGAAGTTTTTGTTTTAGTGTCTTATGAAAGTCACTCTACATATGTTTTTATGTTAATAACCTCATGTGAATTATCACATGGGGGCAGCCATTCATTTTAGCCATATGAATTTTGTCTTAAGAGAATTGATACAGGAGTTGCTGTAAATCCCTGGCACAAAGAGGAAGGTTCATTGTGCTTGCAGAGCTTTGTGAAACTGAAGGAGAAGAGGATGATGCAGGCCATGACCCAGTCCTTGTACCATGCATCAGAGTTATTTGTTATTTGCACCATGTAGCCAAGATGCTTATTACAACATCTGAGATTATGAGTTACAAGGCTGATAAGACTTACAAATTTATAAAATAATGAATCTATGCTTCTGTGGCTGAGAGTTAGCAAGAGCTTTGTTGCTATTCTTTTGCAGGATTTTCAGATTTTCCCTCATTCTCTCCATCTCCTCCAACTTTCTGCTCAACAGGTAGAATGTACCATCTTTGCTGATGCTTCCCGTGCCAGTCTTTCTCCAGATTCCCATATTTCTCATATCTTGCTTTAAGGAAAACTGTGAAACTCTTCGATTTATGTATTGTTTGTGATGAAATTTTATTAAAATTATTTCAGACTTGATTTGATTTACCTCAAAAATTTCTCCTCTATTCTGTAGCATTTTGTTTAAAAATTATGTTTTAAATCTCTTTGTCTCAGTGGAAAAATAATGGCAATTAAGTTGGTATTCTTTTTATTAATATATACACAATATATTTTAAGAACAGTGATTCACTTCCAATTGTGAAATGCAAACATTAATGAAGAGTTTCTTTTTGAATACTTTCCCAAGTGCTTTCTAAAAATTAAGTTATTTTATTCTCAGAACAACTGTATGTGGTAGGTCCCTCGTGATCTCCATTGTATCGAAAAATTAGGGATAATAAGAAATTTACCTGAGATTACTGTACTAGTAAATGGTTCACTCAGTATTTAGACACAGGCAGTTAAGCTTCAAAGTCCACATTCTTAGCCACTATATTCTTTTTATCTCTACCAACAAAAAGTATAATTAGCTTTCTTTTAAAATTTTTCCAACAGCCCGGTTTGTCAGGGATCCAACTTTATAAATGATTTGGACTTCTTTGATATAAAAAGTTACTTAGAGCAGGGGTCAGCAAACTGTGGTGACATACCTGTTTCTCTAAATAAATAGAACACAACTACACTCATTCAGTCATGTCTTCTCTGTGGCTGCTTTCATGCTACAGTGGCAGAGTAGGAGTTATGAGTAGATGTGACAGAGACCATATGGCCTGTAAAGCCTAAAATATTTACTGTCTGTTTCTTTGCAGAAAAAGTTTGCCAATACCAGCAATAGAGTCTAAAAGCAACACTTTGTACAAATTACAAAACTCGCCTTTGTTCTCTTATGCATTGATTTCAAGCTCACCAATGAGAGCTTCGTTTATAATACAAACTTGGCTCAACTTCCTAACACTTTTCATAATGCAAATTATGATGAGTGCTAAAGTTTGAAAGACTTATAATGAATTGAATTAGTAATAAGAAACACCATATTGTAGCAACTCAACATTCTTTGGCAGAGAGTAGAGTTTGCTATAAGATATGAATTTTGGAACATAGTCAAATATATTATTTATTGAAGTGCAAAAGGAAGCTTGGTTATAGCATATTTAATTATTGCAAGGATGAGATGGTAGCACAATACCTAGCATTTAGTATGTTTAAAATACTGGCAAGTCAAACATCTCCTTTTTTTTTTTTTTTTACTAGGTACTTTGCTGGTTATTTATAACTTGAAGCTGCTGCTTAGTGGAGAACCAGAATTGGATGTTAAAACTGACAAAGAAGATATACTGATGGCTGGGGCTGATGAGGAGTGAGTAATGTGTGTGTCTGGAGAATGTCTTTCCACAGTGGCAGTGAGCTACAGTTAGGATACTTTGCATCCGGGTTCCAGGTCTGAGGCCCCTGGGCCTTACAATTGGCACATAAATTTTACACAAATTATAGAAATAAGTGGGCTACACCAGGTTCCAAAACCATGTCTAAGTTTCAAAGGGATCTTAAGGCTTCTCAAAAAATAAAGGATCTTGGGCTTCATCAAGATCTACTGAGTCAGAATATCCAGAAAGCAAGCTTAGAAATCAATACTTTTTAGATATTCCCCAAGTGATTCAGAGATATCAGTGTGTTTGAGGATTACCAGGTTATAAGACTTCTGAAGTTCTATAATACCATAACTCCCTTTTATTTCTTACTTTTATTGGTTATTCTTAGTTATACATGACAATAGAGTCTATTTTGATATAATTATACAAGCATGGAGTATATCTTTTTCTAATTAGGACCACAGTCTTATGGATGTACATGACGGTATATTCTCTGTGGTGTATGCATATATGAACATAGGAAAGTTATGTCAGATTCATTCCACTGTCCTATTCCTATTCCACTTCCCTTTCCTTCATTTCTCTTTGTCTAATTCACTGAACTTCTGTTCTTTTTTTTAATTAACAAAATTATCTTAAGAGTACTTTCGATTTGCATTTCTCTAATTGCTAGTGATTATGAACATTTTTTCATATATTTGTTGATTGATTGTAGATCCTCATCTGAGAAGTGTCTGTTCAGTTCCATGACCCATTTGTTGATTGGGTTATTTGGTTTTTTTTGTTTGTTTGTTTGTTTTTTGGTGCTTAGCTTTTTGATTTCTTTATATACCCTTGAGATTAGTGCTCTATCTGATGTGTGAGGGGTAAAGATTTGCTCCCAAGATGTAGGCTCTCTGTTCACCTCACAGATTGTTTCTTTTGCTGAGAAAAAAACTTTTTAGTTTGAGTTTATCCCATTTATTGATTTTTTATTTTAATTCTTGCACCAAAGGTGTCTTATTAAGGAAGTTGGGGCCTAACCCCACATGATGGAGATTAGGGCCTACTTTTTCTTCTTTTAGATGCAGAGTCTCTGGTTTAATTCCTAGGTTCCTGATCCACTTTGAGTTGAATTTTGCACATGGGGTGAGAGATAGGGGTTTAATTTCATTTTATTGCCTATGGATTTTCAGTTTTTCCATCACCGTTTGTTGAAGAGGCTATCTTTTCTCCAATGCATGTTTTTGGTGCCTTTGTCTAATATAAAATAATTGTAGTTTTATGGATTAATCTGTGTCCTCTATTCTGTACCATTGGTCTACAAGTCTGTTTTGTTGCCAATACATGCTGTTTTTGTTACTATTGCTCTGTAGTATAGTTTAAGGTCTGGTATAATGATGCCACCTGCTTCACTCTTCCTGCTAAGGATTGCTTTAGCTATTCTGGGTCTCTTATTTTTCCAGATGAATTTCATGATTACTTTTCTATTTCTATGAGGAATGCCATTGGGATTTTGATCGGATTGCATTAGATTTGTATAGTGCTTTTGGTAGTATGGTCATTTTGATAATATTAATTCTGCCTATCCAAGAGTAAGGTAGATCTTTCCATCTTCTAAGGTTTTCTTTGATTTCTTTCTTTAGAGTTCTGTAATTTTCATTATATAGATCTTTCACCTCTTTTGTTAAGTTGACTCTCAAGTATTTTATTTTATTTTATTTTATTTTGAGGCTATTGTAAATGGGGTAGTTTTCCTGGTTTCCCTTTCTGAGGATTTGTCACTGATATACAGAAATGCCTTTGATTTGTGGGTATTAGTTTAATGTCCTGCTACTTTGATGTATTCATTTACTAGTTCTAGAAGTTTTCTGGTGGAACTTTTAGGGTCTTCTAGGTATAGAAATCATATCATCAGCAAATAGTGCCAATTTGACTTCTTCTTTTCCTATGTGTTTTTCTTTAATTTCTTTCATCTAATTGCTCTGGCCAGTGTTTCAAGAACTATGTTAAATAGAAGTGATGAAAGAGGGCATCCTGTCTTGTTCCAGTTTTTAGAGGGAATGCCTTCAATTTTTCTCCATTTAGAATGAGGTTGGCCTGGAGTTTAGCATAGATAGCCTTTATGATGTTGAGATAGGTTCCTATTATCCCTAATTTTTCTAGTGTTTTGAACATAAAGGGTGCTGTATTTTGTCAAATGCTGTTTCTGTGACTGTTGTGATGATTATATGATTCTTTTTTTTTATTGGTTATTCAAAACATTACAAAGATTGCAGAATCACATCGGTTACACATCCACTTTTTTACATAATGCCATAATAGTAACTGTTGTATTCTGCTACCTTTCCTATCTCTACTATCCCCCCTCCCCGATTATATAATTCTTATCTTTGAGTCTATTGATGTGATGAATTATTTTATTGATTTCTGTACGTTGAACTAACCTTGCATTCCTGGGATGAATCCCACTTGATCATGGTGCACGATCTTTTTGATCTATTTTTGTATTCAATTTTCCAGAATTTTATTGAGAATTTTTACATCTATGTTCATTAAGATATTGGATGGAAGTTTTCTTACTTTGATGTATCTTTGCCTGGTTTTGGAATCAGGGTGATATTGGCCTCGTAGAATGAGCTTGGAAGTGCTCCTTCTTTTTCTATTTTCTGAAATAAATTGAGGAGTATTGGTATCTGCTGAGATACAAACTGGTCTTCTTTAAAGGTCTTGTGTAACTTGGCTGTGTATCCATCTGGTCCTGGGATTTTTTTTGGTTGGTAGACTTCTGATAGTGTCTCCTATTTTGTCACTTGATATTGATCTGTTTAAATTGTGTAAATCATCTTGATTCAATTTGGGCAAATTATATGACTCTAGAAATTTGTTATTCTATGCCTTTGATATTTTCTACTTTATTGGAGTACAAGTTTTCAAAATAATTTCTAATTATTTTCTTATTTCTGTAGTGTCTGTTGTGATATTTCCTTTTTCATTATGTATGTTAGTAATTTGAGTTCTCTCTCTCCTTCACTTTGTTATCATGGCAAAGGGTCTGTCAATTTTATTTTTTTCAAAGAATCAACTTTTTGTTCTGTCAGTTTTTTCAGTTGTTTCTTTTGTTTCAATTTCATTGATTTGAGCTCTGATTTTAATTATTTCCTGTCTTCTACTGATTTTGTGTTGATTTGTTCTTTTTCTAGGGCTTTGAGATGTAATGTTAAGTCATTTATTTGTTGACTGTTTCTTCTTTTAAGGAATGAATTCTATACAATGAACTTTTCTCTTAGAATTGCTTTTGTAGTGTCTCAGAGATTTCAATATGTTGTATCTGTGTTCTCATTCACCTCTAAATTTTTTTTTAATCTCCTCCTTGATGTCTTCTGTTCATTCAGTAGCATATTTAGTCTCCAGGTGTTGGAGTAGCTTTTATTTTTTATTTTATCATTGATTTTTAATTTCATTCCATAATGATCTGGTAGAATTCAGGGTAGTATCTCTACTTTTTTTTATATTTGCTAAGAGTTGCTTTGTGGCATAATATATGGTCTATTTTAGAGAAGGATCCATGTGCTGCTGAGAAGAAAGTGTATTCTCTCGTTGAAGGATGAAATATTCTATATATGTCAGTTAAAGTCTAAGTTATTGATTGTATTATTGAGTTCTATATTCTCTTTGTTCAGCTTTTATTTGAAAGATATATCTAGTGATGAAAGAGGTGTGTTAAAGTCCCCTAAAATTATTGTGTTGTGGTCTATTTGACTCTTGAACTTGAGAAGAGTTTGTTTGATGAACATAGACGCTCCATTGTTTGGGGCATATATATTTATAATTGTGAAGTCTTATTGGTGTATGGTTCCCTTGAGCAGATGTAATGTCCATCTTTATCCTTTTGACTTTACTTTGAAGTCTACTTTATTTGATATGAGGATAGAAATCCCTGCTTGTTTCCACAGCCTAAGTGAGTGGTATGATTTTCCCCAACCCTTCACATTCAGTCTATGGATGTCTTTTCCTATAAGTTGAGTCTCTTGAAGGCAGCATATTGTTTGGTCTTTTTTTTTTTAAATCCAATCTTCTAGTCTATGTCTTTTGACTGCTGAATTTAGGCCTTTAACATTCAGGGTTAGTATTGAGACATGATTTGTATTCCCAGCCATTTTTGTTTAATTTTTGGTATTTAACGTGATTTGGTTTCTACTCTGATTAGGTTTTCCTTTAGTGCAATACCTCCCTCTGCTGATTTTCATCATTGTTTTTCATTTCCTCTTTGTGGAATATTTTGCTGAGGATGTCTTGTAGTGCAGGCTTTCTAGTTGTAAATTCTTTAAACATTTGTTTATCATGGAAGGTTTTTATTTTAT